AAGAGCTACAATAATTTACATAATAATTTAAAAATAAAGATAAAAAACAAATAATAAAATAAAACAGAAATTGTAATATTATTTCAAATTTTGAAAAACTTCTTGGCATACAACATAAAAAATTCGATTTACAATATTTCCATTATTGCCGCAACAAAGAATTTTCAAACCTCTTCTCCTCTTAACTCTAGATATTGCAGCATAAAGCTGACCATGACTGAATACAACATTAGGTATGTACACCCAACATTAGACAAGGTTTGTCCCTGACTCTTGTTAATGGTCATCGCAAAACACACCAAGAGGGGAAACTGTCTTTGTTGGAATTTGATTGGCAATCTAGCATCAGACGGACTCAACAACATTCGTGGAATAAGGACTTTACTATCAATGTTACCCCCAAATAAAACCTTTGTTTCAATAACTTGATCACCAAGGTGCCATCAATCAACTCATCAATGGGTTTGAAGTCTAACTCAGTCGGGAAGTCATCAATCATGAAGCCGGTCTGTGCGATGAATCAGTTCTCGACGAACAAGAAACGGATACTTGAATAAGATTTTCCTCAAGCTATGTAATGGGAAAAAAATATACAAAGACAATTTATTTAATTGATAAATTGTAATAAAACAATATATGACTTGTTGAAAAACAAACATACAAAAATAGTATAAATAAAATTATGAATAAATTAGAATCTTTTGAACAAACCCTGGCGTCAACGAACTTACAAGTAATCCTGATTACTCCATGCGCTTGTTTGGTATGTTGCAAACCCTGGCGCTTATTTTTGTATAAACCACGGGTTTGTTCAAGATCATGGTCAACGGGTCTGCTTGTGTCGGTTTGGACCGAACCGACATGCTGGGTCGGCCCATGACCATGCCTACAAGGTTCCAATAATAGCTAGCAGCCCCAGGTTAAAAAAATTCCTGGCTACGCCCCTGGTTGACGCTGACGAAATTAAAAATGCAACAGGGAATATCGACAATCACCGACGGCCTCACAGATGTGTACTCATGAAACTTTAGAACGTAAGAATGTTGTGTTAGCGCATACTCATCATTATTTGGTAGTATTTCAAAATTTGACATTATATAAAATGATCCTTCATTAATAATGTCATCCAGCTTTGAAATACGCCATTTTGGAATTATGGCTTGAATTTTACCACCCTTCAATAAGAACTCATTCAAACATGTATTCATACGAGTATAAGACGAACAAAAAATAACCAAACAAA